TGCGAAGTGGGTGACAGTCAGCAAGGGGCGAGGCCCGCCGCGAATGTGTGCAGGTTAGCAGGCGAAGGGAGGAGCAGGAGGCACTCGTGTGTGTGTGTGTGTGTGTGTGTGTGGGTGGGTGGGTGTGGGTGTGCACGCACAGGCGAGGCCAGCCACGTTGTTCAGGAACCGGTTGTGGGTAAGCAAAACGGCGATGTCGAAGTTCCGCAGGCTCGATCCCGGCGGGAAGGCCTGCGCCTGCCAGGCGCTGAAGGCAGGCAGGGTCGTGCGCGAGTCCTGGACAATGTCAAAGTGGTTGCCGGTCGACGCGGTGATCACCTCAATGCGGGACGGGTTGACGTAGACCTTCATGTCCTCGGGGAAGGCCGACTCATGGTAGGTGGCCTCGACCTGGAGGAAGAGCGCGCGCACATAGTCGATAATTTGCTTCTTCTGTGGACGGGGAAAGACACGCGCATGGCGCGATGTGTGCATGTCCGCGAAAAGCGAGAGGATGTACGTGTATGTGTGTGTGTGTGGGTGTGTGTGGCGTCGAGGGTGAGGAAGAGGGAGGAGCGAAAAGGCGCCGCCCGAAGGGGGGGACCCCTCGCCCGGCGGAGCCAGGCGCAAAGGCGCGCGCATGGCACATGGCAGGGGACGACTGCGAGAGGCGGATGGAGCGAGAATTCCGCCCACAAGAAGACGCACGCTCATGCCCTCCTGGGTGAGGGCCGCATACAGCGAGTAGTCCACATAGGCCATGACCTCGATGAAGTAGTTGGTCACCACAATCTCAGAAGAGGACCCCGTCTCGGAGGCCATGGCGACCGGGGCGGCGTCCGCCTTGGCCGGGGCACCGGGGGGCAGCAGCGGCCCATCGCACCAGGGAGCATCGTCGGTGGCGGCGCCGGCCACCTCCTCCGGGGCGGTCTCCGCCCCAAGGACGAAGGCCAGGTGGGGAACCTCCGTGTAGGAGTGGGCGTCGAGGGCGGCCTCGGCCACGGCGGCCGACGCGGCGGCCAGCTCGGCATCCGTGTTCAGGGTGTTGTAAAGCTCCAGCTCATGCGGGGCAGACAGGGCACGGAAGGTGTTGGCCGCCATGATCTGGTGGATCTTGCCCTCGTGCATGATGGTGCCGTGCTGTCATGCGGGCGTGTGAGTGGCGACGGGGGAGGCGAGGGGGCACACATGCGCATGCGCATGCCTCTTTGTTTGTCTGCTGCTTTCGGCCCATTCCCGCGCATACCCATGGGCAGAGGGGAGGGGAGGGGGGGGGGGCATGGGAAGAGGGAGAAAGAACGCACAACACGGCCATCGCACACGGACAGGACGACCCGGTTCTGGGGCTGGCCAACCACATGGCCTCGGTACAGGCAGCTGATGGAGGAGCCCACACGCTCGACGGACTGGTCGGCGTCATGGAAGTTGGCCATCGGCTCGATGTAGCCCTGGCTGGCGGCCGGATGCTGTGGCGAGGGGCGAGGGGCGAGGGGCGACGGAGGTCAGCAACTTCCGAGAGGTGCCACCGGTGCGCCGAGGCGCCCGGGCGAAGGGGAGGCACGAGTTCCACGCGGCACAGGCGCACCTGAACCGGGCGCAGAGACACGCTGATGGACGAGCCGTTCGAGAAGAAGTGCGGCAGATCCAGCACCAGCTCGTCATTCGAGTCGGCATCCTCGCTGCCGTCCAGGTTGTCGGCGGCGGCCAGGCGCATCCGGGCCGAAGTGCTGATCTTCGGAGAGAGGCTGATGCCCACGGGCCGCAGAGAGTGCGCGCTAACTGTCCAACCGGGAGAGGGGGGGGGGGGGGAGGTAAAGTCGTGAGTCTTTGGATGGGGCAGGGGGCAGCGCCGGTCGGGGGAAGGGAGCGGCGCAAGGGGCGAACGCACCGATGGGCGACGAGCCGCTGGAGAACTTGGCGACCGCATTGACCGAGCCGAGCATGGCGCTCAGCAGGGCCAGGAGGAGGAGCGACAGCGGGAGGGCCCGGAGGGCCCGGGGGAGTCCATGGGACACAGCCATGACGACCGGAAGGGGGGGGGGGCGGGCGCGGGGACAGCGGGCAGAGGGGGGAGAAAAGGGGTTGTATTCCGCCCGGGGTCAGGGCACGGCCCCCGGGCGGCGGCCCAAAGCCCACACAGCCCCGACGCCCGAAGATACGAGCCCCCCCC